AATAATTTTGGAGTTTAGAAGTTTGTGATAATTGAATAGGTATATGTGAGAGAAAAAATGATTGAGATTGAGAGAGAAGAGAGAAAAAATGATTGATTGACGTGTAATAGAAAGAAAGTGATTTTGAAATGTTTATGAGAAAAACTCAAGCCAAACAATTTTTTAGAAATTTTTTTCTAAAACTCATCTCCCAAATACAAACCAAACATACCCTGCATATTCAATCGTCTTGATTTCATCTTTATTTCTTTCCATTACGAAGTGATATGAAATCATAATAAATAAATAAAGGTTGAAACAATATCTAGAACAAAACAATTACTCACACTGTTTCATCAACTATTCTTTTCCTCATTATTTTATAAACCCAAATAAGGAATAACAATTTTTTTCTTCTCATGGTGAAAAATGAAAATGAAAGTTTGAACATTTTAATCTAGCATAATATAATATAAAAAGTTAAGATTCTTAACATATAAAACCTCCGCTTGGGAAGAGTTATTTTAGAGTTTTTTTTTTACAAAAGACAAAATAAATTATTTTAATTTTAAAAAAATAAAATATCACATATAATCCATAATTATTACGCTTTTCTCTTATAAGAAAAGACAAAAAAAAAAAAAAAAGTTAAAAAGTCAAAAAAAATTTTTTTTTTTTTTTTTTTTGAGGAAGTGCACAAATTGAATTATGTTGAAAATTTATAAAATTTTAAACCGTTAAACTGATTCGCATCCATCCGTCAAACCGCCAAACCACCAATCTGTTCAATCCACATCTGCCGGATTAGCAGACGGATGTGGATTGATTTTCTCCAATCCGCCAATCTGGCGAACGGATGGCAGATTGAAAGTTGCATGGCCGCAACCGACCCGCGCCCACCCCTACTGTGGAGGTTAAATACAAGGCTTTTGAAAACATAATGAAACTTTTATATGGTCGACTCTTTAGCTATGGTTTTACTATCATTTTGGGGTTAAAAAAAAGTATAAAATGACAAAATAGACTAAATAAGTTAATAAGATAAAATATCAAATTAAATCTATAATCATGTAACGTTTACGTTTTCAGTTTATATTTACAAAAATTTTATAAACTGGTTTTTGTTTATTTTTAGAAAAACATAAACTACAAACGCGTTTGGTAATTGACAAAATGTATAAAAAAAAATTAAAAATATAAAAATGAGTGAGAAATGGCAAGTGGCGGCAAGTGGCGGCGGAAGACTCATTGGGTATCAATTATCAATGTGAAGCCTATGAATTGGGCAACAAGTAACATCCAAGCTATAATAATGTGAAGCCATTACTGTTCTTTTAGGTACAACGGAAAGTACCATTACAAAACCGATAATAGAGATGAATTTTTTTTTCTCTTTTTCCTTTCATAATTCCCCTCCTACTATAGTTATTAGGTGATAAAGCTTGGTTCTAGATCGCCTCGTCTGACAATATCATTTTTTTAATTTAAAAATTAAAAAATCAATCACTTATATAAAGAAGTTAAAAATTTTATTTTTTCTTTATTTTTTATATATATTTTCATTAAAAAAATCAAAAAATCATTTCAAATATACTAATTTTTTTATATCATGTTTTAATCAAAAGATTAAAAAAATACTAAAAAAATCTATTCACAAACGAGACCTCAGCCTATTTTAAGAAGTCCTCATCTGCTCATTATAAATAATTTTGGTGTATTGTTGGTTTTGAAGGTCCTATGATTTGGTGAGGTTTGGCAATTGGGTTGGGTTAGTTTAGTTTTTTTTGATTAAATTAGTTATAAAAAGGTAAAATAAATTTAAAAATTAAGAAAATAAAATGTTACACTCAAATCATAATATTTTTAATAAAATTTAAAAAATCAAAAAAATAACCCAAACAAACCTTGTAGCCTGAATTAAAATAGTTAAAAAGTCAATCTAACTTCCCAAATGAAATCTCAAGTGATGCCCTCCTCTAGGGTTTTGCCCCTGCCTCTTATTGTGCATTCTGTTTGATTACAATTTTTAAAAAGTTCTAAAACTTTGCCATGAAAAAATTTAAATTTGTATAAAAAAATTTAGTTTGCAAATCTGTTTAGTCTAGAAGATTTCTTTTTGGAGAAAAAAAAAATCGCCAAAAAAAAAGAGTTAAAAAAAGTTTTTTTTTTACTTTTTTTTTGGGGGGGTGGTCTTTCGCATAAGGAGGCGGAAGACGGTGGTGGAAAATGGTGGCGGGTGGTGGCTAGTGTTGGGTGGTTAAAAAAAAAAAATTGAAAACTCAAAATGGAAACACATTTTTTGTGTTTTCATTTTTTGGCCAAATTTATAAACTGAGACTACTGATGTATAAATCAAAAATTTTACCAAACAAGTTTTTATTTGAATTTTTAAAATTTTTGTAAATATAAACAGAAAACTGAAAACGTAAGTGTTACCAAACAGCACCTACACTTTTTCTCTCACAAAATCAAAAAAATCAAAAAAATCCCAAATGAGGTTAAAAAAGTCAGGCTAAAAAAGTTTAAATACAAAAAAAGTTAACTATATTAGCCAATGTCAAACGAAACTTTAATTAGTAGGCTACTCGTGTGGGTTAAAATGGATAAAAATTGAGTTGTTATCAAAACAATAATTTTTGAGAATAAAAGTTTAGCTATCATTTTGGGGCTAAAAAAAAGCACAAAATAACAAAATACATTAAATAAGTTAATAAGATAAAAATATTACATTCAATTCATAATCATTATATTTTTTTTCTCACAAAAATTAGAAAAGTCAAAAAAATCAAATTAAAGGAGACTAAAAAAACCAAGCTAAAAAAGTTTTAATACAAAAAAGTTGATTATATTAACCAATGAAAACAAAGTTTAAAAATCCAAACAAAACTGTCCTTTGTACAAAAGTAAAAACAAAATACAATACTCAACAAAAAAAAAAAAACAAAAAAAAAAAACAAAACAAAAAAAAACACAAGAATCTCAATGCAACCTTGTGTGGTGGGAGCCTTTAACAGACCCAAACCGACGCGCATACACCTCTATCTAATAGCTTTATGCATTAGAAATAGTGGTGATTAAGACCTCTAATAATAGAGTTTTAATAAGAGCACTAGTGACGTTGTAATCTGAAAAAAAAAAAGAAAAAAAAAAATAAAGGCCAAAACATCAAATCACATACTGGGACCCACAGATTAGAGCTCTTCTAGAGCTCACAATTTAGAGGTCTAAAGCATTTTTCCATTAGAAAACATCACGGGCGTGTTTGCTTTGTATTTTGAAATAAATTTAAAACAAAAAAAAAAAATTAAGAGAGTTTAGAATTTTTTTTGATTTGTTTAGTTATATATTTTGAAAATAATTTTGGAGTTTAGAAGTTTGTGATGATTTAATATTTCGTTATAATTGAATAGGTATATGTGAGAGAAAAAATGATTGAAATTGAGAGAGAAGAGAGAAAAAATGATTGATTGACGTGTAATAGAGAGAAAAATAATTTTGAATTTTTTTTAAAAAATTTGCAACCAAATATGTTTTTGAAAAATTTCTTTCAAAAACATATTTCAAAACACAAACCAAACACACCCAACATGTTCGGAATATCACATAAGTGTCCGTCCAAATAATGATATTTGTGGTTTGTCTATAATTTTTCATTTAAAAAAAAAAAATCATTGAAGTATATAATTTTCTAGGAAAACATTATAATGCACATGCATTTTATAACTAAAAAGAAAAATGACATAATTTCATATTTTTTAAGCCATAACTAAAAAAAAATGTCATAACTAAACAAAATATGAGACACAACTAAAGAACTCATGAGTCATAATTAAAATAATACCATAATTAAAAAATAAAATTAATAATAACTAAAAAAAATGACATAATTAGGAATATATATAATAAACTCTTTTCAAATGAGTGTATATTGGGAAATTATTTAATACTCCCAGACCATTACGTGTCCATACTTCAAACCAATCACCAATTAGTTAGTCTCATGTTGTTCTCTCATCTCCAACATAAATCGTGAGCCCTTATGTCTCTCTACCAATCAAAATCTTATGAAGCACTACGTGTCAATACTCTGGAAATACTGAATAATCACCCGTGTATATTAGAATTTTTTAGTTTTCTATTATTGAACAAATGCATTGTGTTGTTCTTAGGTTTAATTAAGTTTTCAATTGCTTTTTATTTTTAAAAAAAAAATAGAAATGACAAAAATAAATACAAAAAATTATTTGAAAATTTTAAAAAAATATTTCAATCACATAAAAGGGAAAATTATACTATGGCCTCATTTGCTAACTTGGCTATTAGTTGTCCAATTTTTTTAAAATTAATTAGTTAATTAATTATTTTTTTTTCCAAAACAGATGAGTCAACTCCGAAATAATCGTCACCCCACACGTACGCCAACTAGCAACTCACTGTGTTCCGACCCAACCAAAAAAAAAAAAAAAAAAATGCAGGGACTTTTATCAATATTTTTACTAACGCTGCGCAGAGTTACGGAATTTGAAAGATTTGAAAAAAAAAAAAAAAACAGCAAATATAAATAAAATATATTTATATTTTATCTAATTTTATACATATTTTTTCTTTTTATTTCTAAATTTCTTCCAAATCTCTCAATCAAATACAATTTAAAAAAAATGTCTTACATGTATATGGTCTCATACCCATATAAAACATTTATGATGTAAAATATTAATGTTGTATTTAGTTAGGAGATTTGAAGACAAATTTAAAAAAAAAAAATAAATAAATATAAAATATAAATATATTTTATTCTCATTTCACTTATTTTTTTATTTTCTTTTTCTGAACCTCTTTTTAAATTTCTAACTAAGAAAAGAAATATTAATAAAATATTTAAATCCCTAAAAAGACCCACCCAAAACCTGTGTTCCGAAACTTCCAAGAGATTTGACACCGTATTCCCCAAGTCTCTCGTTTGAAATATCAACCTTGGCGGACCCAAAAGTCTTCGGATTTCAAACCCTCAACATATGGTATCACATTCACATATACAACACCTAAACACGTTGGGCTTTCATTTCATATAACGCACCTCCTAAAAGTCCTCTCTCAAAATTCTCTCATTTTCATATTTTTGTAATACATACATACAAACCGCAAGAGAATGTGTCCCACCGGGACCACCGCTCACCACCCCGACACCCCCACCGGTTCAGATTTCCGGTCAGCATTCGACGTTCTCGACGCCGACCGAGACGGCAAGATAAGCCCCTCCGATCTTAAAACGTTCTACAAGAGGTTTTCCGGCGGCGGAGCTGAGGAGGATGATGTCATCGGGTCGATGATGTCGGCCGCGGACTCCAATAAGGATGGGTTCGTGGAGTACGATGAATTCGAGACGGTGTTGAATGAGAGGAACAGCGGCGGCGGAAGTGGGCGGGGGGTGATGGAGGAGGCGTTTAGGGTTATGGACAGAGATGGGGACGGCTTGGTTGGGGAGGAGGATCTCAGGGGGTACTTCCATTTTGCTGGTTTTGATGCAAGTGATGAGGAGATCAAGGCCATGATCAGATTGGGCGGTGGTGATGAAAACCGGGGGGTTTCATATGATGCTTTTCTCAAAATTTTAGCCGTTTCATGATTCATTATGAGACAACGAGGACGATGATAATGACGACGACAATTATTTCTTGGGTTCTGCCTTTTGTTTTGTTTTTAATCTTTTGCTTTTCTTTGTAGTTGGTTGTTATACGTGATGGATTATTTAATAAAAATTTTGATGTGATGAGTTCAGAAATCATAAATTATTTGCAGTGGGCATTTCAGAAATGAACAAAAAAACAAAATTCAAAGAATGAAACAGGAATTGAGTTGTATAAGAGCATCTCTGTCACTTATTCAAAAAATTTTAATTAAAAACTTGATTTGATATGATGTGTTTCAATTGTTTTATCAAATTTGGCCAGTCGTCCGGCCTAGAATAAATTTTTATCAAAATTTTCCTAATCTGATCGTCCACCCAGTTGTTTATCCAGTTGACCGGCAAGCCATCCACAAACGGTGACCTGCAAAATTTGATGAAAGATTAAACACACTCCACATTTGATGAAACTTTTGATTTTGCTTTCATTTGATATGCCTTTGATAAACAATTGGAGCCTAAAAAGTCGACATTTTTTATCAAATTTAAATTTGATAAAATATGTGAGAAATGATTGGAGATGGTCGAAGAGTTACACGGTTACTTATATTGCAATGCCCTTTATTCTTGCATTTGGATGCTACTTCTCTGAAAGGAATCAGATTCTTGGCGATTTGAGCTGCATGTCTTGTAGAGTACATCAAGCAAATACTTCATAAATAATTTGAAATAAGATCAGGAGAATCACTTAATAAAATTAAATGATAGAGAAAATTGGTTCATTTGATCCATCATAATATTTGATGACAGCTAATTATGTAGGATGGGAGCATTGTTTGTTTGGTTTGTATGACAATCCTTCATCTTTCTACTTTTCCGGAAAGGAATCAGATTCTCTCGTCACTGAGTAATTACCATTTATTTTTTGAAAATATCATATTAATAGAAGTTAAATACTTCTATGGTCTATAAAAAAGAAAAGAAAAATAACCATAATAGATAAATCACAAAATACCATCAAACGAATACACAATCACTTAATGTTTCGGACCTATGTGATAACTTTTTGTTTCAGTTAGCTTTATTAAACCGTGTTATTGGATTTTGATAAGCTTAACACGAACTTATTTCGATGATGCAAATCATTCATAATGTGAAATCTTCTAAACAGTTCATATAAGGACAAAAATCTTATTGATAGAACAAAAGCATAAACATATGATCAAAAAATGTCTTCAAAATAAAACTGAAATGCAGGTCTAGAAAGATGAGGCACTAACTGGCTAGAGGTTCCTGAAAAACACACAATTGAACAAAATCAAGGTTAGATAAGAGGTTTGGCTTGGTGGTTTCCACGATCCAAATACAGCTGACACGAATATAGGTAGTACTTCACAAATTCATATAACAGGTCAGTGTCAATCACAAGGCCATGGCATACAAATTCATATCACCAATGTAACAATTTCCTCATAAAAGGCTGGCCCGAGTCAAACTAAATCAATTTGGCCGCTATGTACAAGTGGCTTTATTGAATTGTACTGTACAGCATAGACATCATTAGGATCCAGGTCCATGGGGTCCTCTTCTCCACTGCAAGATGAGAGATTCCAACTAGTTTAGCAAACAAATATTTTTGAGGGACACGGTAAGAACATGGAAGAAAACAATAGATTGCCTGTTATCGAGCTGGAGAGCTCCTAAGGATTGCTTTGTTCTACAGATAACATAACTGTCCAGCTGTGGTTCTGGGACTGTCAAGTCACACAGAAAAGAGAAAGAAATGTGTCAAAGTATACCAAGCACGAATACTAATATACCCAACAAGAAGAAAACAGCTTTCGCCATGCAAATTACCTTCTTTTTTCCCCTTCTTTGTTTGCTTTAATGAATGCCATATTCTTGCCTTTGTTTCCAGTTATTTTCAACATTTTAGCTTAAAATTTGAACAAAAAGATTAACACCTGAGAATTACAACTCAACCTTCCTCAATTCTCATTCAGACAGGCTCATTCAGAAATAAGGAAGCTAAAACTGAGACATCCAAATGCACATAACTGATTTTAATAGAATGTCAAAACAGCTGGGAAAGTAATATCAATTATGTTTATAAAAGTATAGCTGATTCCTTCTCAAATACTTCTCTTGACTAATTTAAGTATAGGAATCTAATATTTAACTCTTCCGGAACTAAAATATGAACTGTCATAAATTAGGGGACTACGAAGAAATCTAGAATGCCCTCAAGTAAATTATGCTGTGACAAATTTTAGTGAGATAATTTTGAAAATGGATGTAAATAAGCTTGAGATAATTTCAACTATCAGTTTTGATTAACAATTCGAGCCCCTGACCTAAACTCATCATATGGCTATAAAAACTTAAAACTTACAAACTAGTTTCTAAGAAGGAATTCAAGTATAAACACAAAAAAACACAATTTTCCGCATATTTTTATTAATATTTAAAACACACACAGCGACTTAAAAAGGACAAGAAAGAAATGAACATCAACTTGGACAACAATGAGTGGATTACCCATGTTATCCTCCTCACTTATAAGAGATTGCTTTAAACTCGACTTGTATCAATCGGGCAATTTTGACAGAACAGATTTTCAAAATGATCTTCCAGATCTTCAATGCACCTGTAATGATGAAGGCACACAAAAAATAAGAGATTAAAAACATTCCATTCATATTTCCACTTGAAAAAAAATAAAAGAGCAGAAGAAAAATAGAAAAGAGATTAAACAGTTTTCACCTTTTGGCAAACTTCTGTTCTTGCTTAGAAAGCCGATTCCACAGTTCAGTAGTTTTATGGATGTGAACCATGTATTTCTCAATCTGAGATCAAAATCACAACCCAGAAAACATGGATTCATGATGCCAATTTGGATAGCTTTTGAATGATTTTATAGTTTCCTTTAATGCATGTTTGTTTATGTATGAGCGATGCAGGATTCACTAAAGTAACTTTCTTTCTGGATCGTTTCAACGATTTTGTGATTAGCCACCATTCTTGTATTAGTTCCATTTGAGAGGATGGAGTAATGGCTTCCAATGCTGTGGAAAGAAAGTTAGACTTGTACATTTCCATTAAAATTCCAGGCACACCTTAAAAGCAAATAAGAAAGAGTAAATCATTGTTCACCTTCTGCAGATGAATACGAAGATACGATCTCAAAAGAAATAGTGTCCTGTCCAATTCCATTTGGTAAAGTGAAACAGTGAGCAGATCAATACCACTTGCCATGGATTCATCCACAGTTTCTTCCTAAATATAAGCCCCAAAATTGCCATTAGGAAAATTATTAACACCATGATCGCACATCATGCTAGTTACATGCAAGGATCCCAAGTCCATGTAATATCCTAGTTGTGATGCTCATTGCTCAATATCGAAACTTTTGTATCCACTATCTTATAAACTCGTTGGATTTGAGTAAGGTATCAAGATTTATAAATCCAAAACTTGATTATCTTAATCAAATCCAAAATATTGCAGTATCTCATTGAGTATGTCAACCATACATACAACAATATGTATATATAATAATAGTGTTATATACAATTATATAAGAAGTATCCGTTGAAAAGTGTCCAACACATATTCCATACCCTTATCCGAGTGTCGGGTGTCTGACACGGGTATTTAATTTATTTTGAACAATCTGTATAACATAGGTTATAAATGGATCAAACACACTACCCTTACAATGATGTGTTGTGTCAGATATGTCAAGCCCAAGTGAGTTGATGACGTCCGTAGTATTAAGGTTCACCATATCAACGTACGATACCCATCTATACTTCTAATATGTAAAAAACCAAAAAAAAAGAAAAAAAAAACTACTGTAGTATCTATTGAATGTGATGTGTTGTCCAGCCCAAGTGAGTCGATGACATCCTATTAGTGTTGTGGTTCACCATATCAACAGATGTGGACATATCTATTCTTCTAATATGTTAAAAACTAGTAAATATTGGATGCTGAGTTGGAGCATACATGACCAGGTTTGAAACAAATTTGGGACAAAATAATAACCGTGTTGCTATACCCAAGTAAAGGCCAGCTGGAATTGAGCATTTCTTTCAATAAAACCATCAAGACTGCATTGCCACCACCAGCACCATACTTGCAATTAATGCCAGCACAACCACTACACAGCTCCATTACTAATATGTTACTGTGGCTATTAATGCTATGCCAATACAATCTCCACCACCACAATCACACTACCTCATGGCACTCAGGCACAATCATCTCCACCACGACTATTGGCTTCAAATCAACTCGCTTCACCAACTAAACCTTTTTGACAATCACCACCTCCATTCTAATTTGGCTGATAAATAACAGATTTAATTCATATCTAACCATCACAATGTCAACAGTTAAAAGGTCACAATAACAACGATAAGCTTAATTTGGCATAGCCTTAGAGATGAGGATTATGAACACAACAATTCCTGTTAGTTGAGCAGCGTCTTAATCCAATCAAACAAGAAAAACAAGTCCTTGGACTATTCATCTTGGCAAGGCTCAATCATATACGATTTGATAGAAACATTTTATTAAGTAATGATCTCTATATATCAAATTAATGCAATCCATACCCAATTTCAGAGCCATCCACTTCTCTTTCTTGGTGTTTATTATTCATAGAAGATATTGTTTGCATATAGAGGCAAGGCGATAAAAAGTGTCTATAAGCACAATATATGCAGATCAAAGTTGGTATAACATGATATCCGCGTCATATGGAGAGTGAAAACGAGAACTCCTCCCACTGTAAAAATTAAAATCTAATACAAAAACATTTAATTAAAGCTTTAACATTCATTCGAAACAAAATTAAGACTTTAACCAAAAGTTCTACATGCACAAAAACAAATTACAGCATGGATCACAATGGTGTGGGTCCCATAGTGGGCAGGCCCACTATGTACAGATAGGTATCTTTTCCAGCCTTAACACTTTAAACACAGAAGAACGCTGGTGCAGTTTATTAAACAGTAAAGCATTTCTGGCCAACAACAATGAAGGACGCATATTAACTCACTTCAATTGCAACCTGGGTTTGCCTAGTGGGCAAAACTTGGGACGTAGGATGTGCTCTTCATTCATTCGAAACAAAATTAAGACTTTAACCAAAAGTTCTACATGCACAAAAACAAATTACAGCATGGATCACAATGGTGTGGGTCCCATAGTGGGCAGGCCCACTATGTACAGATAGGTATCTTTTCCAGCCTTAACACTTTAAACACAGAAGAACGCTGGTGCAGTTTATTAAACAGTAAAGCATTTCTGCCCAACAACAATGAAGGCCGCATATTAACTCACTTCAATTGCAACCTGGGTTTGCCTAGTGGGCAAAACTTGGGACCTAGGATGTGCTCTTTTACGTTTTAAGTTCAATACCCACTAGTCCCTAATAAATTCTTTGGGGCCATGTCCATACCGGTTTTAAATGGGTCTCGCAAGTGGGCAGTGGGATTATTGCTTGAATTAGGGGTTGTTTGGGGTGTCCTAAATAAGTGTACTTTTTGTCTTTTTTAACTAAAAAATTGAGGAAAAAAATATAGATGTTTGGGTTAACTTTTTGAGTTTTTATGAAAAAATGTGTAATAAAAAATTGTAAAAATTAATTTGTAAGAGAAAATTAGAATTGAGAATTGTGCAGCCGTAATTGTTGACTTAACTTTTTGAGTAGCTTTTTGGCTTTTTGACTTATTCTGAACTTGCCAAACTTGGCCTTAGTCTCGGACACCCGGTTATCCAAAAAAAAAAAACAAAAAACACTCACTTCAATTGCTTGAATTTTTGTTTTTAATAGACAATTGATCTCGTACTCATTGAATCAACTACATGTACCACCAAATTAAAAAGCAGTAATCAGATTTTTCCCCAGTGAAATTTCTATTGCAGATAAACTCTGTTCTAAACATGGATTCGGTTCAATCAGAAAACCCCTAAAAAATATTAAAAAATTAAAAAATTAAAAAAAGAGAGCTTAATCTCCTGCAGACCAAAATTTTCAAGGAGCACATTGCAAAAGGAAAAAGTCGGACCCTCAGTGGGGTGAACCCCACCACCCTACCGTTTTTTTGATTGGTTCAAATTTTTTTTTTTTAATCTTGGTCTCACAGCCCCCACGCGGAGGTGGAGGTGCTGGGGCTGCATTGTTCCAAAAATTACAAAAATCAAACCTATACGGCACTTTACATCTTACATATATGCGTTTGTATATATATATACGTACAGACAAAAAGAAAATTAAAATTAGATACATATAAAAACATACAAACAAAATCGGAGAGAGAGATTACGAGCAAGTGGATCTGTTCTCTGTCCGCCATGCTCGCTTCAAGAGCTCCTCGGCATCGGTAGTCGAAATCAACGACTCGTAGTCCTCCATCCCTGTTCCCGAATCCATCTGATCACAGCCACATAACCAAAAAAACCTTTTCTAAAATAAAAAGGCCAAAAAAGAAAAAAAAGAAAAGAAAAAGAAAAACGGGGGAAGAAAGATGGGGTGTGGTGGGGTGTGGTGCAGAGAAGACAGATCACGAGTTTGTGCGTGAATCTAACACCGTCAGATTGGCCGGTTTTTGGGTTTGCCTCGAGATATGAACTCTGGGAAAGGCAGAGAGGACAGCTGGGATGATGGGGTTGGACTCGCGCACAAACTAGAGATATGTCTCGTCTCGTATCTCTTCGAGCAACATGAAGAAAGGTAAGATAAAGATTTGATATTTTGATGGGGTTAAGGGGTTCCCTTGCCTTATTTAGAATGAGAATTTGGATAGAGAGAGAGAGAGAGAGAGAGAGAGAGAGGATCCAAACACCACCGCCTTAAAAAAATTGACCTTTTGCGGTTAGGCTACGTTTGAATGCTTGAACATTAGCCCATGTTTGGATGTAGGGTTTTTTTAACAGTCCCAAAACTTCATCTCCAAGTCTTAAAAACATAATAATTTAATGAATAATAAAATCTTTGGTGTGTTTTTTGATTATATGTAAAAATCCTTTTAATTTAATAACTAATAAAGATAATTAATGATATCAAACCACCACCAATATCACCCCCCCCAAAAAAAACCAGATGAAAATATTGACTATCATGTATTTATTGTTCAATGATTTTAAACAACTGAAACTTAAGTTTAAAAAAGAAAAAGAAAAATGCTCAATCGTTTAATAAAAATGAAAGTATAATTTAAACAATGATTAATAAAAAAGTAACGGAGCTGATTCTACATTAATGCTAACAAACTAATTTAATTTTTATTTATTTGATCCATTATTTGACGTCTTAATTGAATGGTTTCAAATTAGAGATTGGATAATGGACAACTCGAACCAAATCCTTATATGGTGTTTGATCAATAGACCTTATTTGTTGATTGGCCTAATTGAATCTGCTTTCTTCAAAATCAAGTTAAATTCTAAATCGGCTTCGAATTAAATTCGGATAAAGGCATATCAGTTATCAGCGTTTATGAACAAAGAAAGTTTACAAAATTAATGACCGGTATAACAGAAATGAAAGTACGAACAACTTTTTAGAATCTGTACTTTTCAATGTTTTCAAATAATGATTAATGAAAAGAAAATGTAAAAACTCTCAAGAATTAATTTATTTTTTCATATATTCTCAATCTCCACTTACTTCTTATTACTAATTTCATAATTAATCATAAATTTAAAGTATGAACAACCTGTAGTAGCTCAATTGCTTTATTTGGTCAAAATGTTTCTCATGTGTTTTGCATGTGCTTCAGTTGAATTTTTTTGTTGACTGTTTATATATTAAAGTTACAGTTGTTCACTTGATTGAAAATTCAAACCCTTTAAAATTTGAACATTTCAACTTTATGGCCATAATTTTCATATAGCGATTTCGGTTTTTGATCCGTTATCTATTTTATTCCAGACTCAGATTGGTATGATTTAGAATGGTTATTCGTATCTTATTTCCCTTGTCTCCCCTTTATTTTGGTTATCGAATTGTAATTATGTGTTTGGAATAGGTTGGTTGCTTATATTTTCAAACTTGTGATGCCCAGATTTTGACTCTTTCGCTTGAGCGGACATTCTTGCACTTGAGCGGGCTTCACAAATTCTGTTCCTCTGATCAACCATACATTCTTGCGCTCGAGCTGCGCGCAAGTGGGATTTGTCAACTTTCAGTATTTTTGCAGTTTTGCAAATACTAAGAGAATGCATTGGCCGCTTGAGCGTCTAGTCTCACGCTCGAGCGAGGCCCTTCGTCTGTTGAACTTCTGGAAATACGTATCCCATGCTTGAGCATCACTTTTCACGTTCTAGCGGAACTTTGTGTCTAACGCTCGATCGTCGCTTTCCACGCTCGAGCGGACTCCGTGTATAACAGTCCGTGAAGATGATGTTTTGAATCACTTTTTTATCCTTCTCTCTCTCTTTAAAACTTTCCAAAAACTAAGTTCTTGAGTTTCTCTCTCTAAAACTCACATTCTTTATTAGATTTCTTCTAGATCCACTACAACAAAAAAGGCCGTTCGTGGCCTATACGTCGTCGCTAAAAGTACCTGGTGACGAAAACCAATTTCGTCGCCTATTTTTAATTTTTGGCAACAAAATGTTTCGTTGCTGAATGTTGAATTTTTCGTCCTCTATAACATCAATTTTATCATCAAAGCTAAATAATATTTTATTTTAATTGTTTTTAGCGACCAAATATTTCGTCACCAAATAGATTTTAGTGACGAAAGTTTTCCTCACCAATGATATGGATTAAGATGACAAAAAAATTCGTCACTAAAATGAGCAGAAAAGAAAATTCTTCAATGACAAAAAATATTTTGTCACCAAATATTTCAATTTAGCGACGAAATATTCAGCAAATGTGACGAAATTATTTGTTTCATATTATATCATTAGTGACAAAATTATTCGTCATATTTTTTGAAAACTAATAGCGACATTTTTTATTTCGTCACTAATAAAAATTAAAAAATTTGAAAATGGAAGTACTATTTTCTTCCGAATTTTTTTCTTTTCAATAACAATTCCCTGCTCATTTCAATAACCTGTTCAATAAAATATCTATTACAAATCAATACAAAAATCTGTTCATTTTCATAAACATCACAATCGAATTTCAGCACTATCCACAAAAATACAATATGAACTACATGCGGATTATAAACATGTCTCCTAATATCTACAAACATCTACTAATATCCACAAAAATATCATATTAACCGCATGCGGATTACCAAACACATCTCCTAATATCCAACAACAAAACATGCCTACTAATATTAACAAAAATAAAATATCAAGGGCAGATTACCCAACATGCCCTGTAATACCAATAAAAATATAAAATTTACAACGCAACCAAAATACATGTAAGGTAATATGAACAAAAACACAAAATGAGCTAACATCTGTCCTCCAAATTACCAAACATGTCCATATCAAATCTCGAATCTGCAAAAAAATGAAACACAAAACAAAAAAACAAACAAAATGCAAGTTAGACAATTATTATCTTATCCATAAAATATACAATTTAACATACATTTTTTGAATTAGTTTTCAAATCGGGAGGCCGGTGCTAGTTCCGTAAGTTTTCACAACTTACATTGGTCCCTCCCGACGTGTTTGAGATGTTCCCCGGGCCGTCCCGTGGCTGTTGCACGATTTTGGCCCACGAATGTCTATTTTCAAGCTTAAGTGTGAAAAAGTGCAATTTTGGACTCAGTTTTCAAACCGGGAGTCCCGTGCTACTTTTGTAAGTTTCCACAACTAACATTGGTCCCTCCCGAGGTGTTTGAAGTGTTTCCCAGGCCGTCTCGAGGCTGTTGCCCGATTTTGGCCCCCGATGGCCTATTTTCTAGCTTAAGTGTGAAAAAGTACATTTTTCGACTTAGTTTTCAAACCAGGAGTCCCGTGCTAGTTCCGTAAGTTTCCACAACTCACATTGGTCCCTCCCAAGGTGTTTGAGGTGTTTCCCGAGCCATCTCGTGGCTGTTGCATGATTTTGGCCTTCAATGGCCTATTTTCAAACTTAAGTGTGAAAAAGTACATTTTTCGACTTAGTTTTCAAACCGGGAGTCCCGTGCTAGTTCCGTAAGTTTTCACAACTCACATTGGTCCCTCCCGAAGTTTTTGAGGTGTTTCCCAGGCCGTCTTGTGGCTGTTACACGATTTTGGCCTCCGATGGCCTATTTTCAAGCTTAAGTATGAAAAAATGCATTTTTCGACGTAGTTTTCAAACCGGGAGTCCCATGCTAGTTCCGTAAGTTTTCACAACTCACATTGGTCCCTCCCGAGGTGTTTGAGGTGCTTCCCTGGCCGTCTCGTGGCTATTTCACGATTTTAGCCTTTAATGGCCTATTTTCAAGCTTAAGTGTGAAAAAGTGCATTTTTCGACTTAGTTTTCAAATCGGGAGTCCAATACTAGTTCCGTAAATTTCCACAACTTACTATTGTCCCTCTCGAGGTGTTTCAGGTGTTAATCGGGCTGTCTCGTGGCTGTTGCATGATTTTGGCCTCCGTTGGCCTACTTTCAAGCTTAAGTGTGAAAAAGTGCATTTTTCGAATTAGTTTTCAAACTGGGAGTCCCGTCCTAGTTCCGTAAGTTTCCACAACTCACATTGGTCCCTCTCGAGGTTTTTGAGGTGTTTCCCATACCGTCTCCTAGTTGTTGCACGATTTTGGCCTCCGATGGCCTATTTTCAAGCTTAAATGTGAAAAAATGCACTTTTTGACTTAGTTTTCAAACCGGGAGTCCCGTGCTAATTCCGTAAGTTTTCACAACTCACATTGGTCCCTCCTGAGGTGTTTGAGGTGTTTCTCGGGCCGTCTCATGGCTGTTGCACGATTTTGGCCTCCGATGGCCTATTTTCAAGCTTAAATGTGAAAAAATGCATTTTTCGACTTAGTTTTCAAACCGGAAGTCCAATGCTAGTTCCGTAAGTTTTCACAACTTACTATTATCCCTCCCGAGGTGTTTCAGGTGTTATTCGGACTATCTCGTGCCTGTTGCACGATTTTGGCATCCGATGGCCTATTTTAAAGCTTAAGTGTGAAAAGGTGCATTTTTCGACTTAGTTTTCAAACTAGGAGTCCCGTGCTAGTTCCGTAAGTTTTCACAACTCACATTGATCCCTCCCGAGGTGTTCGACGTGTTTCCCAGGCTATCTCATGGCTGTTGCATGATTTTGGCCTCCGATGACCTATTTTCAAGCTTAAGTGTGAAAAAATACATTTTTCGACTTAGTTTTCAAACCGAAAGTCCCGTGCTAGTTCTGTAAATTTTCGAACTCACATTGGTCTCTCCCGAGGTGTTTGAGGTGTTTCCCAGGCCGTCTCATAACTGTTGCACGATTTTGGCCTCCGATGGCCTATTTTCAAACTTAAATGTGAAAAAGTACATTTTTTGACTTAGTTTTCAAACCGAAAGTCTCATGCTAGTTCCGTAAATTTTCACAACTCACATTAGTCCCTCCTGAGGTGTTTGAGGTGTTTCCCGGGCCGTCTCGTGGCTGTTGCACGATTTTGGCCTCCGATGGCCCATTTTCAAGCTTAAGTGTGAAAAAGTGCATTTTTCGACTTAGTTTTCAAAACGGGAGTCCAATGCTAGTTCCGTAAGTTTCCACAACTTACTATTGTCCCTCCCGAGGTGTTTCAGGTGTTAGTCGGGCCATCTTGCGGCTGTTGCACGATTTTGGCCTCCGCTGGCCTATTTTCAAGCTTAAGTGTGAAAAAGTGCATTTTCGAATTAGTTTTCAAACCGGGAGTCCCATGCTAGTTCCGTAAGTTTCCACAACTCACATTGGTCCCTCCCGAGGTTTTTAAGGTGTTTCCTGAGTCGTCTCGTGGCTGTTGCACGATTTTGGCCTCCGATGGCCTATTTTCAAGCTTTAGTGTGAAAAAATGCACTTTTTGACTTAGTTTTCAAACCGGGAGTCCCGTGCTAGTTCCGTAAGTTTTTACAACTCACATTGGTCCCTCCTGAGGTGTTTGAGGTGTTTCCCAGGCCGTCTTATGGCTGTTGCACGATTTTGGCCTCCAATGGCCTATTTTCAAGCTTAAGTGTGAAAAAGTGCATTTTTTGACTTATTTTTCAAACCGGGAGTCCAATGCTAGTTCCACAAGTTTTCACAACTTACTATTGCCCCTCCCAAGGTGTTTCAGTTGTTAGTCGGGCCGTCTCGTGGCTGTTGCACAATTTTGGCCTCCGATGGCCTATTTTCAAGCTTAAGTGTGAAAAAGTACATTTTTCGACTTAGTTTTCAAACCGGGAGTCCCGTGCTAGTTCCGTAAGTTTTCACAACTCACATTGGTCCCTCCCGAGGTGTTTAAGGTGTTTCCCTCGCCGTCTCATGGCTGTTGCACGATTTTGGCCTCTGATGACCTATTTTCAAGCTTAAGTGTGAAAAAGTACATTTTTCGACTTAGTTTTCAAACCGAGAGTTCCGTGCTAGTTCCGTAAGTTTCCACAACTCAAATTGGTCCCTCTCGAGGTTTTTGAGGTGTTTCCCGGGCCGTCTCGTGGCTGTTGCACGATTTTGGCCTCCGATGGCCTATTTTCAAGCATAAATGTGAAAAAGTGCATTTTTTGACTTAGTTTTCAAACTGGGAGTCCCGTGCTAGTTTCGTAAGTTTTCACAACTCACATTGGTTCCTCCCGCGGTGTTTGAGGTGTTTCTTGGGCCGTCTCATGGCTGTTGCACGATTTTGGCCTCTGATGACCTATTTTCAAGCTTAAATGTGAAAAAGTGCATTTTTCGACTTTGTTTTCAAACCGAGAGTCCCGTGCTAATTCCGTAAGTTTCCTCAACTCATATTGGTCCCTCCCGAGGTATTTGAGGTGTTTCCCGGGCCGTCTCGTGGCTGTTGCACGATTTTGGCCTCTGATGGCCTATTTTCAAGCTTAAATGTGAAAAAGTGCATTTTTCGACTTAGTTTTCAAACCGGAAGTCCCGTGCTAGTTCCGTAAGTTTTCACAACTCACATTGGTCCCTCCCGAGGTGTTTGAAGTGTTTCCCAAGCCGTCTCGTGGCTTTTGCACGATTTTGGCCTCTGATGGCCTATTTTCAAGTTGAAGTGTGAAAAAGTATATTTTTCGACTTAGTTTTGAAACTGGGAGTCCCGTGCTAGTTCCGTAAGTTTTCACAACTCACATTGGCCCCTCTCGAGGTGTTTGAGGTGTTTCTGGGCCGTCTCGTGGCTCCTGCATGATTTTGGCCTCCGATGGCCTATTTTTAAGCTTAAATGTGAAAAAGTACATTTTTCGACTTAGTTTTCAAACCGGGAGTCCAATGCTGATTCCGTAAGTTTCCACAACTCACTATTGTCCCTCCCGAGGTGTTTCAGGTGTTAGTCGGGCCGTCTCGTGGCTGTTACATAATTTTGGCCCCCGAAAGCCTATTTTTAAGTTTAAGTGTGAAAAGTGCAATTTTGGACTTAGTTTTCAAATCGGAAGTCCCGTGCTAGTTCCTTAAGTTTCCACAACTCACATTGGTGTCCCCCGACATGTTTGAGGTGTTTTTCGGGCTGTCTCGTGGCTGTTGCACGATTTTGGCCTTCGATGGCCTATTTTTAAGTTTAAGTATGAAAAAATGCATTTTGGAACTTAGTTTTCAAACCGGGAGTCTCGTACTAGTTTCGTAAGTTTTCACAACTTACTTTGGTTCCTCCCGGGGTGGTTGAGGTGTTACGCGGGCCATTTTATTACTGTTACACGATTTTGGCCCTCGAAGGCCTATTTTCAAGCTTAAGTGTAAAAAAGTGCAATTTTTGATTTAGTTTTCAAATCGGGAGTCCCGTGCTAGTTCTGTAAGTTTCCACAACTCACATTGGACCCTCTTGACGTGTTTGAGGTGTTCCCCGGGCCGTCTTGTGGCTGTTGCACGATTTTGCCCTCCGATGGCCTATTTTTCAAGCTTAAGTGTGAAAAAGTGCATTTTTTGACTGTTTTCAAACCGAGAGTCCCGTGCTAGTTTCATAAGTTTTCACAACTCACATTGTTCCCTGCCAAGGTGTTTGAGGTGTTACCCGGGCCGTCTCGTGGCTGTTACACGATTTTGGCCCCCGAAGGCCTATTTTCAAGCTTAAGTGTAAAAAAGTGCATTTTTAGACTTAGTTTTCAAACCGGGAGTCCCGTGCTAATTCCGTAAGTTTCCACAACTTACTTTGGTAAAATATATATTTCAATGTAAAAGTCTAAACGATGCAACAACATGGTTTTTTATTCATACAATAAACCAATTATTGATAAAAATAGGGCTAAGTGTTAAGTGAATTAAAAACCTAAAAGAAGCCCAATGTAATTAGGCCAACCTTGTGGGCTCAATGTATTTTCCCTAAACCTCAGGGAAGGTTAGTGTAATTTATCAAAAATAATAGACACATTAGGACACATGTCTGATACGGACACCTTCTTATAAATGTTTGTGCTTCTTAGGAAATAAAGAAAGGTCACTTCATCACTCGATAAATTAAGAGGAAAAGGGGAACAGAGAAAGAGATGGCAATACCGCGTCTCCTTTCAATCCAGACAAGACATGGAGCCCGTCGACTATGCCATTAGCAAAATCATAGAGCATGGCTGTTGCATCCTCAGCTTTTGACTCATCAGATGATACGCCATCAACAAATCTATGTAACTCTTGAATCTTGATGTCCTTCACAGCCTCTAAAGTCAAATTATCAAGAATATGATAACATTTCAGACGAGTCAACTCCAAGGTAAGCTGCATTTTACAGTCTTCCTGGTTTCCAACACAAAAATAGCAATGACGATGATGATAAAACAAAATAACCTCACCTATTCAGAAAGAAAAACAAAGTCCAATATAAAATACATATGCATGGATAACATATCAGACCTTTGATTGAAATTGATCATTTACATTTCAAGTATTGATCATGAAGAAGGGAAAAACAAAAACAAAAATGAAACAGAAAAAAGGAAATAATATAAGATTAAAAAATAAGATTTAAATGAAGAAACTAGAGTGTGACTAAAAAAATTGCTTCAAATTGAAGCCTTCAATGACTAAATTGTGAACATTCTTGCAAATAAAAATGTGGGATCATTCATGTACTTTTAACAAATGATCAGTGTTAAGAACACGACACACATCATGTTAAAGCTGCAACCCATGTTAGCATAAATGATCAGATTAGACAAGCACTAGTAGCACATCAGATTAGGCCAGCAAACCATGATTTTAGAGAACAAAACTTGAGCGATCATTCAGCTGTTACATTTAGTCTGTAGAACTAAGTTGAGGAAAATGACTTTAAAAGAAAACACCATGAAGTAGCTCTTACCTTTAAAGGCACATAGTTCAATACCTCTCTCATTGCACTTATTATGTCCGACTGGCTAATATCATTCCACTACATCCATAAAAATTATTAATCAACTCAGCGTGTTTCAGTAAACCATAGTAACCATAATATTTGGACCAATATTATGACACAAACTGAAGAAAGGAAACACCTTATCAGGGTCAAAAGAAAAGGCCCACGGATAAACCTACAACAAAAGGTATGAAGACAAAATTAAACTTCCTCATAACAAAACTCAATCTAAAAATAAATAAATAAGGAAAGAAAGAAAAAAATAAATAAAGTTATACGGGCAATCATATGGATAATAGCCAATGGTAAGAGTAGCAATAAAGTCATTACGACAATGACAATGCTGCCAAAACATCTCCGTCTAAAAAGGGTGAAAATAATTCCCAACTGACCCAAAAGTTTTAGGGCATTAGAACACATTTATTTATTTTTATAAGAATAACTTTATTAGAAAAGGAGCATCAAGACGATGCTAACAAATACAACCCACACCACGAGCTAGAACACACATGCGATCGGGAAAACACACATTGTTATCACGCATGAGCTAGAAGCCAAACAATTCTGAAATTTATGACATATAAAAGGCTCTCAAATGATACAACTATGTAGAGTCACACCACGCTCAAATTGTGCAAACGAAAAATTTTATTTGTTTGAAAAATGAATGATAGAACTCGGGAGGTAAGCATTACCTCTTCTAGTTGTCCATTCAACTACATTGTTGAGCTCCCCTTTATGGGATACTTCAGAAATTCCTCAAATGGATTGTGACAATCAAGTAGAAATTATTGATCAAGGAGTTTGCAAGTACGAGGAAAGTGATATTGTTCTGATAGAAAGTTCAAAAGTCCAAGAAGCCACTGAAGGGCAAAAAAATTACGTGCTAAATCATTTTATCAAAAGATCTTCACGAACATGAAAATGCATTACAATTGTTTGATTCTATTAACTAATGTTCTTAAACGCAGAAATGGCCAATCTAGAATTAGGATCTATCCCGTGCTAATTCCGGCCCTAATTTGAGTTTGAATTTGCAAAATTATTTCAAATTGAGTCAAATCTGATGGATTTGAACCTTATCTGAACCAATTTGAATCCCTAGCAATCTGAATTGAACTAAAATTCTTTTTTTTTTAATAATAAATACCTGAATTGAACTAAAATTCCCTTCAATTAAGTTCCAGACTACGGCGAATTCATGTGTGAAAGGTGCGAACAAGTTTCAAATTGAGTCGAATTGTCCACAACATTTTGAGAGAGAGAGAGAGAGAGAGAGCATACGGGCAGTAGGACTTGGAGATGATGACGATGGAGTGGGACGCTGCTGCCACTGCCCCTACTCGCAGGCGCTCTACGCCATCTCAATGCTCTACGCCGCTGAGTGAGTGAGAGAGAGGCGATTGATACTGAGTGAGCGCGTGAGAAAGAAAAAAAGACGCTGCTCTGAGAGAGAGAGAGATGAGCGACTGAGAGAGATGTTGCCGCTGCTGGACGCCGCTGCACGCTGCCGCCTCCATTGCCCTACGCCGTTAAGCACGACTGAGAGACAGATGAGCGATTGTGAGTAAGAGAAGGAAAAGAAAAAAGGTGGGGGGAAATTTTGAGGGGAATTTTGGGAAAAAAGGAGTTTTGTTAAGAATTAGAACATAAAGATTATTTTGAAAAGTACGTTGAAAATTGATTTTTTAAATTTTTTATAAAATATATATAAAAAATATATATAATATAATAAAAAATAAGTAAAAAGTTAAAAAATAACTTTTTTTTTTCATTTGCCAAAATAAGCCTTTGTTAGTGTTTTTTTTTTTTTTTTTTTTTTCATCAACCCATTTATTTGTTGAGTGTACCTACCTTGTTGTACCTACCAATCACACAAAATAACACATATCCAAAACCGAACAGAAATGTAACTCACAGAGCCACACGGTCCGGAGTGAACCCTCCAGTGGCAGCTTTGTACTTGAACCGACAAAAGTAATCCTCAGCCCCAACATTCTCAAGCTTTGTGTAATTCTTGAAAGTATGGACAATGCACTTCCCTTCTATCATGTGAGCACTCTGTACACCATAATGGTCCGACAAGAACAACATTTTCGCTCCATGAAACTGCCTCTGGCCCTAATTCGAGTTTGAATTTGCAAAATCATTTCAAATTGAGTCAAATCTGATGGATTTAAACTTTATCTGAACCAATTTGAAGCCCTAACAACCTGAATTGAACTAAAATTCTTTTTTTTAAAAAATAAATACCTGAATTGAACTGAAATTCCCTTCAATTAAGTTCCAGACTACGGCGAATTCATGTGTGAAAGGTGCGAACAAGTTTCAAATTGAGTCGAATTGTCCACAACATTTTGAGAGAGAGAGAGAGAGAGAGAGCATACGGGCAGTAGGACTTGGAGATGATGACGATGGAGTGGGACGCTGCTGCCACTGCCCCTACTCGCAGGCGCTCTACGCCATCTCAATGCTCTACGCCGCTGAGTGAGTGAGAGAGAGGCGATTGATACTGAGTGAGCGCGTGAGAAAGAAAAAAAGACGCTGCTCTGAGAGAGAGAGAGATGAGCGACTGAGAGAGATGTTGCCGCTGCTGGACGCCGCTGCACGCTGCCGCCTCCATTGCCCTACGCCGTTAAGCACGACTGAGAGACAGATGAGCGATTGTGAGTAAGAGAAGGAAAAGAAAAAAGGTGGGGGGAAATTTTGAGGGGAATTTTGGGAAAAAAGGAGTTTTGTTAAGAATTAGAACATTAAAGATTATTTTGAAAAGTATGTTGAAAATTGATTTTTTAAATTTTTTATAAAATATATATATAATATAGTAAAAAAAAAGTAAAAAGTTAAAAAATAAATTTTTTATTCATTTGCCAAAACAAGCTTTTGTTAGTTTTTTTTTTTTTTCATCAGACGTGGCAAATGAGTGGCGTTTGAACGAGTCAAAATAGATTTTGTATTAAAAATTTATTTTAATTTTTGAAAATTATTTTTTGAGTTTTTAATTACCATTTTTTTTTAGTTTTAGTGAAATTTTTCAATATTTTAATCAATTAAAATATTTAAAAAGTCCACTAAAAATTTTAAAAAATAAGAATTGAAACTTGAAAATTAATTTTCGAAATTAAAACCAAATGAAATAGATTCAAACTCATCTATTTGATAAAGGGATTTAAATGGTTTCGGTTGAGGTGGAATGCTGGTGGTGGTGGTGGTGGTGGAACAGCGGCAGTGGAAGTGGATTGGCGGCAACAGTAGTGGTAAAGTAAGGTAGTGGTGATGGAAGAAAAATGGTAGCGGTAGCGATGGTTATGGAAGTGGTGTGGCGGTGGTGGTGGTGGTGGTGGTGGTGGTGGTGATGGTAGTGGAGGTAGTGGAGAGGTGATGGTGGCAGTGGTAGTGATACAGTGTCGAGGGCAGCAGTGGTGGAGTAGTGGCAATAGTGTAATGGTGGTGGTGAAGTAGTAGCGGTGGTGGTATAAAGGTGGTGGTAAAGTGACGGCAGTGGGAGTGGTGGTGGAAGAGAGTTAGTGGTGGCAGTGGTATAATGGTGATGGCGGTAGTGGAAGATATGTGGTGGTAGTAATGATCGTAGTGGTAGAGTGACAACGGTAGTGAAGTAGTGGCAACATGGAAGTGGAAGAGAGGTGGTGGTAGAGTGGTGGCAGTAATAGCAGCGGTGGTAATGGATGCATGGCGGCAGAGATGGTGGTGGTGTTGGAGTGGTGGCAATGGTAGTAGAAAAATCCATTTAAACAGGTACTCATATCTAACCCAAAGAAGGCTTTGCAAAATAGGAACTGATTTGGGCAAACAAAGAGGATTTCTCAATTATGGCATGAAACGACGTCGTTTTGTATAATAAAACTATAGGAGACGAAATTATTTCCTCGCGGAAAAATTTGTACAATGGTGACGAAAATTTTTGTCTCTAAAATGGTGCCCAAATATTCCGCGAAATTAAGAAATTTTTTTTCGTCACGGGTTTTCGTCACCAAAAACCTTTTTTGTTGTAGTGATCCGTCGATCTCCTCACCCTTGTGCCTTTGAGAAAAAGATAGAGCATCTCAAGATCTACATTTTAATCCGAATAGAAGTGGGTTTCGGTGTTCTTGGAGTTTCTCTCTTGTTTGGGCTCATCTTCTTTCTTTGAGATAGGGATTTTTTCTACACCTTCATATGATATTTAGCTTAGTTATTTGTATCTTATGTAACAATGATGTGATTTGGGGTATTGTAAGCAAACCTAGGGTTTGGGCATGTTATGGAAAGAGGCATTGTTGTTGAACACGAAATAGATGAATGTGGGTTAAGAAAATGAAATTATGGTGGGTCAAAATGGTAGAAAGTGATATTTGGGTTGATATTTGAAGAGGGAAAGTTTTGCCCTAAAATGATTATCATGATTATTTTGTATAGACAATTGAAATTGTCATTGAAAATGTGAAATTGAAAGGGTATTAATATAAATGGTGAAATTGGTTATGTATTAATCCATTCTTTGGAAGTTTGAATAAATTATCTGTCATGAGATTAAATATCCGTTTAGAAATAACTATATTGGGCTATCAATGGAGGATAGCTATGATTGTTGTAGAAATTGTATGAGAATTAGGTGAATTGAAACTAATATGTTATTATTTGTCATTGAATATGATTATGTTTATATATATTGTACATATATGATTATGTGAGAGTGGAAAGGAGATGTGCTCTATTGTTTGACTTTGTGTTTAAATACATTGCATATGTATGAATGATTGTTTGGGAGGAAAAAATGGATGGACTCCATTATAATTAAGTTGGCTGGAGTGTCCTTGGTAAAAATCCCAAAATTATACATGAGTGCCTAGCCCGCAGACGAAATATCCGTAAAATGGCAATTGTAGTGCTTGTACAGTTTACGTTTACATGGATCCCGTTTGAAGGCTGCCCGAGGATGAAATATCCGTGAAAGAAAAGTTTGAAGTGCTTATATGTTGATGATGTGATTAGAGAACTAATGAGTTGTAGTCTTATTTGGGTGGTTGAGAAACGATGAAATCGACTCATGTAATGAAATGAAAAAAGGGGAATGACTTAATAATTGAGTTTGGTATCTTATGACTATATAATATGTGAATGTCTTTATCACTGACGTTGTATATGCATAGTGTACTTATACCTTTGCTAAATTTCATATACTACGTTAGATGATTCCTACTGGACTGTGGCTCACCCTATTTGGAAATAACATTTTCAGGTAATGATGGCATACCTGCACCAAGGCAATAGCATTGAAGGGATCTTTGGGAAGAAAGAACTTATTTTGTTTTATTTTTGTATAGCTTAGGGCTAAATTTGTATTGAACGAAACTCATTTTGTTATAACCAAGTCAAGGCTTGGAAAAGTGTAAGCCAATAGGGTATTTATTTACGTTAAACTCTTTGTACTCCTTAACTTTATGTAATGACAGGACCATTTACTTTGAATTATGCAATTGTTATTTATGCTTTGGGCTATAATTATTGTGTTATTTGAGGGCGTTACATTTCAAATTTAATTTTGTGTTTTCATACTCAACAATATATCTTATATGAATCCAAAGTACTAAAAAATACCCTTTCTTTTACTATTTTTAAAATGTTAGGTCTTTGCAATATTTTATTAACGTTGTGAATAGTAAATTATCTCAATATTAGAAGAAAAATAAAGTACTGAATATATATTACAAGTTATTTGAGTAACTAGATGTGATCTGTAGACGTTTAAAATATTATAATAAGAAAATTTTCAAAAGATATGTTATTAATTATCTAGAATAGCTGAGTTTTAAGTTACGATACCAATAATTTAATTAATGAAAGTTGTATTATATATATAAATATTTACTAACATGCATTGGGATTGATAATATCTTATTTTCATGCAAATATTTATTTTTAATTGGGTTGGAGGAGCAACTCTTGGTACTAGACTTGCAATGTAGACTCAAATGCTTGGCTTTTACCATGGGATTAATTAAAGTACCTAAGTAAATTAAGCAAAAGAGCAACAAAACTTCATATAAACTAACATATATATGTAAAGAAATTCACCCCAAACAAGAAATAATCAAACTAGTTTTGAATATTTGCTAAGAAAAGGTCATAAACAACACACATATATATGTAAAGAAATTTGTAGTTTGGTTTTCTTGTTGTGTCCTATTAAGTTGGAATATCTTGAAACGTTTACAAGGCTTCCATGGACAGTTGTATATTTATGCAATAATTTTGGTTGACAACGTCATCACTCTATTGTAGGCTTGAGAATTATAGTTGAGACCTGTTGAGATTGGCTTTATATATAAACATTTGTGAGGAAAAAGAAAAGAAATTTTTTTTTTTTTTTGAAAGGATCAACAGCCTAAACCAGTTACAATTTGCCTGGTGGCTTTACCACATACATGATCTTGAGACCGTCCCCAAAATCCCTTCCCGTCTCTAGTGCATTCCTCCGAACAACATGTTCGTGCCTTGAACTATTTTGTCATTCCTTAGATAATTTTAGCAAAAATTTCGATACTCTGTTTGTTTTCACTTATTTATAATTTGTTTGATTTAAAATTTTTAAATTGCATGCGTAAGTAGTTGTACTTGAAAGGAAAATGACTGACCTGCAGCATCACTATTTGAGGATGATTCTGTGGATTGGATTAGTGGCCAATGAGATAGCTACAACACCAAGTCGGTTTTGGACCAATAGTTGGCCCAAATAACAGTTCTCTACTTGAAAAACATTAAAAAAAAAAATGTAGGGTGTTCAGTTTCACTTTTCATATATATATTTTTCTTAGGTCAAGTGTTAGAAACTAGGCCCTTATGTTTTACATAGTAAAGAGGCCGAAGCGATGAAATTAGAAAAAAATTGCTAAGAATATAAAATAACATTTTATTTGATACATAAGAGGCTTTTGAGAAGCTAGCTTTTAATCCATTTTAGATCATATCATCTTTCAAATTTTTTACACACAAATAGACAAAAAAAATTAAAAAGTCAACTTTTAAACTTCTTAAATCACCTCATAATGAGAAAGATCTAGTGCATTTGTATTTGGAAAGACTATTTAGTCGGAGTAACATCTGGTGCACTTTGTAAGGGTTGGGGAGTGATCTTTGTTGTATTTTTTAGGGGACATCACATCTCATGTAAGTTGGAGATTTATGGAGAAAAAATAGAAAATACTCATAGATCTTTGTAGGGCAATGGCCCCTCAGTCCTCCTATGTCACAGGAGTCTTTACCCTCTAGAGAGCCAGACAAGAGGCGCTTAGTGTAAATTTGTGAAAAAATAATGTTTTAGAGCACTAAATTGAGAGCTCTAGAGCATCACTAATGATGTGGCACAGTGGCCCCCACCAAAATGATGTGATATTTTGGCTTGAGTTTATTTATTTATTTTTTTTTTAAACTCATTAGAGCTATTAGTGGTCTAAAAATTAGTGGGATGAATCACCACTCATTTGTGAAAAATCTACCGCCATTGTTTTTAGACTGGTTAAACAATGAATAACTTAACTCCAATCTCACTAAGAAGATATAGATAAGAGCCAATGATTTGAGTCTTGTGCATTATTTTAAATAACAGTATAAGTATATATATATCTGTACCAGTGATATATGATTATATATAGACTAATATCAAATAATATTGGTCGATATATTGATGAATAATAATATCAAAAGTCTAAAATTTTAATATGTAGCAGTTGGTTTTTAAGACACCGACTCTTGTACTACCGACAAGCACCAAAAAAAACTCCAACCATGGGGTGTTTTGGCTAGTCGGATTTTGACATTTTTTTTGTTAAAATCGACAAAAAGACAAAATACACTAAAATAGCTAATAAGATAACATGTCACATTAAATCCACATCTAACTATAAAAAAATTCATTTTTATATTTTGGCTTGAGTTTATTTATTTATTTTTTTTTTAAACTCATTAGAGCTATTAGTGGTCTAAAAATTAGTGGGATGAATCACCACTCAATATCAAATAATATTGGTCGATATATTGATGAATAATAATATCAAAAGTCTAAAATCTTAATATGTAGCAGTTGGTTTTTAAGACACCGACTCTTGTACTACCGACAAGCACCAAAAAAAACTCCAACCATGGGGTGTTTTGGCTAGTCGGATTTTGACATTTTTTTTGTTAAAATCGACAAAAAGACAAAATACACTAAAATAGCTAATAAGATAACATGTCACATTAAATCCACATCTAACTATAAAAAAATTCAACACAAAAATTTTAATCTACTAAAATAACAACTTCCCAAACACTCACATAGAGTATAAAATATATAACATGTAATAAGCACAAACCCTTGCTAGCCATGGCTTTATTATTTTAAGGTAGTTATACACAACATACTTGGGCCTAGCTAGCTATATGGTGGCTTACATGTATCCATCACACACAACACTAAAACAAACCACATAAAACCGATATTTTCAGCTTTATAAGCTTTCAAACATTGGATATATCGCTAGTCACACACACACGACACGAAAACAAACCACATAAAACCGATATTTTCAGGTTTATGAAGCTTTAAAACATTGAATATATAGCTACACACACAAGCATAAACTTATGTTGCTACTTGGTACACAACACAAGTAGTATAACCTTATTTCAAGCACACCCTTTTTATATTTGTTGATCCCGTCCCATTCACCGTAGATAGAGCTAGATAGCTAGCTCTTACTCATGATCGGGTCGTTGGACAGATGTGAAATAGTGATGAGTGTCAACGGTTGATCCTCCAGCTCCTTGGCCAAGCTTCCCATAACTGTGGTTCACCTCGTCGTCACTATCGTCATCCTCCGCATTCGTGCTAGCTTTACTTTCAGCTATGGCTTCCACATCTATTGAAATTTAAATAATAAAATTATTATTCATTTTCCTATCAAAGTTAAATCTTAATATCTGTTATTCAATGGGTTGAGCCTCATAGGGTTTAATTCAACCCACTAAATTTTTTTAAACAGTTGTATGATTATGTGAAATTTTTGGGATTTTCATAATTGAACCTAATAAAATAATTAGAAAAATTAAAATTGATATATATATATCTATTTAGTTTGTGTTTGATCTTGAATTTAGAGATGAATTTTTGAAAATAAAATAGTAATATAAGTGAAATATGAACTTTTTTTTTTCTCTACATATTTCTCTTCGTTTCACAAATCTCTCTCCCAAATTTAAGATTCAAATACTGTTTATCAAAAAAAAAAAAAAATACTTGGTTAATTCTTGAAACTTAGAGATCATATCTCTCTATCATCAGTATGTGAGTGATTATGTATAAGATAAACTTTTATTAATATGTTATTGGAAATATATAAATGATATTAAAGTGTATCATGAGAATGAATTTTCTAAAACTAAAAAATTGACATAATAAATTATCCATTAACCCTACTAAATCAAATTGCTGATTAAAAATTCACTAAAGAAGAATTAAGAATATAAATAAGGGATAAAAGTTTACAATATTCAACAAGATTAGTACTACCTTTGTTTCCATTAATAGCAACCTTATCATTTGCACCAACGTTAACCTTTCGACCAAGATTTTTATCGCTTGGCTTCTCTGCCAGAGTCCCCAAGATCAACATGAAGGTTAGCAAGATTGGTAGCAAGATCTTCATGATTTGAACTCTTCTATATAACCCTGAAATTAGAAGGTATCTTTGTCGTTAGTTAACAAAGAAATGCTTTGAGAGGAAACTATGGAAAAAAACAAGGACACAAGTACACTACAACTAGGGCAACAGAACATACCACTCTTCTTGCTTCAAGAAAGAATATGTAAATGGCTGATGAAATAATGACTTCCAAGTGTGACAATATATAGGCAATTTTTTTATTTTTATTTTATTTTTACTGTATTTACAACTTTGAATGTTTAAAAAGATTAGACACCACATTTTTTACAAATTTTATAATAATGTTAGAATTATTATTTTTTTAAATTTCATTTTATTTATCATTTAACAGTACACATCCACAATCATTGAATATTAACGAGGACTATGTGAGATTCCGTTGTATTATATTTGTAGATAATATTGGCCCGTTTGGTAGAACTGTGGAAAAGCGATTATAAATTATAGTTTAACAGATTATGGCTTATAGCCGTGAACCTAAGCTGTTAGCCTGTTTGGTGCAACTATGAGATTATGAATTTAAGCAGTAGAATAGTGTTTGGTTAATAAGCTGTAAAATACATTTTGCCTTTATATGATATAAAAATGATTATTTTGTCATTTTTTCAATTTTAATTTTAAAAAAATTATTTCATTAATAAAAGTTAATGTAATTAGTATTACAAAAGTTAATATAATTAGCATCAATTAATTCTAAAATTACTAATAGTATCAATTAATACTAAAGTTAATATAATTTTTTTTTTCATTTTTTCATTATAAATGAATTAGGTGTCAATTAATGGCTTAATTACCATCAATTAATACTAAAATTATTAGTATTATCAATTAGTATAATTTTTTTCATTTTTTCATTATGAATGAAGTAGGTGTCAATTAATGGCTTAATTACCATCAATTAATACTAAAATTATTAATATTATCAATTAGTATAATTTTTTTCATTTTTTCATTATGAATGAATTAGGTGTCAATTAATGGCTTAATTACCATCCATTAATACTAAAGTTATTAATATTATCAGTTAGTATAATTTTCTTCATTTTTTCATTAAAAATGAATTAGGTGTCAATTTTTTTCATTTCTTCATTACAAATGAATTAGGTATCAATTAATGGCTTAATTACCATCAATTAATACTAAAATTATTAATATTATCAATTAGTATAATTTTTTTCATTTTTTCATTATGAATGAATTAGGTGTCAATTAATGGCTTAATTACCATCAATTAAAAATAAAATTATTAATATTATCAATTAGTATAATTTTTTTTTCATTTTTTCATTATGTATGAATTAGGTGTCAATTAATGGCTTAATTACCATCCATTAATACTAAAATTATTAATATTATCAATTAGTATAATTTTTTTTCTTTTTTTCATTACAAATGAATTAGGTATCAATTAATATTTTTGTTACAAATTATTAATTAGTATCAAATTATTAATTATTAATCATTACAAATTATTAATTATTATTATTATTATTTATTAAAAAACACTGAAAACCTTTAAAAAAAAAGAAAGAAGAAAAAATTTGAACACTGAAACCCTAGCTCCGACGCGATGGGGGACGACGCCTAGGGTTTCAGATCGCCTCGCACGGTTGATCCCGATGGGGGACGACAACGGAGGCCAAGATCTTCATCTTTATCTTCTAGTGCAGATCTTCATCTTCTTGTCTTCTCCGACGTTGATCGAGGCTGTCGAAAGTTAGGTTTGATCGCGATTGATGCTGTCACAACGAAGGCCAGATCTTTAGTAGGCCGTTGCCCTTCGCCACCGCGAGCCTCTCTAGGGCGATGATTGTCACTCTCAATCGATTGTCTTCCTTCAGATTTGAATCCAAACACACACATAGAGAGAGACAGAGAGACAGTGATAGAGCTAGGGTTCGCCGAAAATCACCTCCCTCGTCGAAAATCGCCTCTCTGGTTCGGGCGAGGGAGAGAAATGAGTGAGTTTGGTTTATATACGTGGCACACTAGTAATAACTTGAAATGGTGAGGGGCATTTAAGTCATTTTGTCCCTCAAACCCCCAGTCGTGCGCTTAAGCTGAATCAAAAAACACATCCTCCCCAACTCAAAGAATAATTACTTTTTTGACTTAATTTAAGTTAAAAGTTGATCACTTGAGCTACACCAAACACACAAAAATCACTTAATTTAAGATAAAAGCTAAAATAAGCTGGATTTAAGCTCTACCAAACACCCACATTATATGATATAACAAACAAAATGTGATATAAAAAGATAATAAGTATATCATTATTACCACATAACTGGCAGGTCGTACTATATGTATATTCACATATGAAGCGAGCTCCATTGAGTGTGTTGAAAATTATTAGTTTCTCAGAAAAATTATGTAAATAGTCCATGTAATTTACATGATGTGTCAATTTGGTTAATGTAGTTTCAATTTGCTCTATTTTGACCCATAATTTAACGAATTGTGTCATCTTAATTCAATAAATAACGGTTGTTAAGTTAATTTAATAGAAAGTCAAACAATGTGTCAATTTGGTCTCTGTATTTTTCACAATGTGTCAATTTAGTCCCTATCAAAATCGAGAAAATTGAAACTACAGGGACCAAATTGACACATCGTGTAAAGTACATGACCAAATTGACACATTATTTGATCTTCCGTTAAATTAACTTAATAACCGTTATTTGTTGAACTAAAATGACACAATCCGTTAAATTAAAGGATAAAATCGAACAAATTAAAACTACAGGGATCAACTTGACACATCGTGTAAATTATAGGGATTATTTACATAATTTACCCTAGTTTCTCTTAAAGTATTGCTCTACACTGATACCGATTGATACACCTTTTTATGTTTGTCAAAATATCAACGAAAACCAATCAAAAACCGATCATAATATCGTGTAAATACTCAATAATTTTTCTAAATAATTTTTCATTGTTGCTGGAGTACCAGTTCAACAAAAATATCAAATGTACATGTCACAATAATACTCTAAAGAGTTGAACATTTTCCCTCACTTCAGTTTGGAGGTTCGTAAATTTATTGCCCTCACCCACAGCTAGGAGTGTGTGCGCTGCGTTTCGGACGGTTTGAGAATAAAATTACAAATCGAATGGCGGGTTAGCGGATTAGCGGATTGATAAATTGCGATTTGGGCTATTTTTTACGGATTGACGGATTAAAGAATATTCTAACTAATTATCATATATTTGCATAATATATAACTCTAATTTGTATAGTATTTTTTAGATATATAACACAAAGTAATTTTACATAATATGTTTCATATATATAACCACTAATTTGTAATAAATTTCATATCTTAAATCTCTCTCACACTCATTTTTATATTGATATTTCATTGGAAGGTAAAAATATATATGTATTAACTATAGCGAACAGAGCAGTTCGGTTGGTGGACTGTAAATTTTAAAGTTTAAACCGCGGTTAGCGGTTAGAGTGCTACGGATTGATACGGTTTTAATAGATTGGACAGTATTTTGCACAGTCCTACCTACCGCATGGGCTGTCAAAAAATAAAATAAGTATAATAGTGCATATAGCATTGTTGTTGAATTTAAGAGGTGGAGTGGAGATAAAATTGGAAGCACTAAGAAGACTAGACAAGTGCGTGCACATGGGGAAGGAAGGACTGATGATGTATTAGCACCCCCATTTGGAGATAGTTAATTGTATCCACCAAAAGAGTAATTATGATTAGGATTGATAATTATTCAATTTTTTAAGCTCTGACTTTCAATTATTTAATGAATAAATATGCATTTATGTTTCCATGTTAGGGTTCAACAATGGGTGCATTATACATACATATTTCTCTCACTTTATTTCCCTTCTTGAAATAATTATCAACCGAACACAGTTCTTTTCACTACATTAATCATAGTGATGAGCTGACTTATTAGTATTATAATGAAAAAGACTTAGTAGTAGTAATATGCATGAAACAATTACCTATAGTGATAGTTATTCCTTATGATGTACTTAACAGTAATTATAATCAATTCATGATAGGGAGAAAGTATTTTGTGTAATGATTACCTTTTTCTCTGGCATGTTTGAACGCTCGACTTTTATAGGTCCTTTAAATATCTATCTTGCTAATGCCAATACATTGTGAAGGAATATGTAATTGTGGCATGGGATCTTTGTCCTCAAACTTTTCTATACCTTGCTCTAACAATTATGCTAGAAAGAGGTGTGAGATAAGACTTATCATTTGTCTTACATTTGTGATTGTTTTAATATTTATGGAGTTTTTCTTATCTTAAAATGTTCACATTATTGAATATGTCTCAAAATTTTTGTAACTCAAAAATCATGAGTAAAATGTAGCATTTGTAGTTGAGGGGCTAAAGTGATAAATAGAAATAATTGAAGGGATAAAATATAATTAATCAAATTAAGACTTGGTTTGGGGAGCACCCAAATAAATTACGTATTAGTTTATTTTTGTCACATCACTTCTTTTTATTTTTGTTTGTCTTTTCATAATAAATAAATAAATTAATTAAAACATAAGTTTTACCCAAACTCAGCCTAATAATCCCGAGGCCCAATATACCCTTGTTTGTTATTATTGGATCAATAATGGAAACTCTGTTTGGGCAATTTATGCGGTCTTCAGGATTTGAGCATGGGCCTAAGGTGGGGGCATTCTATATGAATCCAAAAAATATCTTAATATGTCCAATTTAAATTTATAAATTTTAATTCTTATTATATTCTAATATGAATTTACTAATAAAGATAATCTATATTAAATCTTAAAATATTTTTTTTTTCATGGTACATCACAATCCATTATTCCTATTCAAATCTCTACATCTTCTTTCCGAAGAGATCTAAGTTAGTTTGTCTTCTTCTTCTTCTTTTTTCTCACTTCAAAACTCCAATCTACTTTACCAAAACTCACCATTATCATTAACATCATTGTTTTTTATTATTTTGAAACCCTAAACCCTAGAAGAAAGTTTGAACAAT